CCTCACATTGACCAATAAAAAGTTGTTCTATCAAGCCCTGCTGTCATCTCAAGATCCCAAACTCTCAAAATCCTGAACCCTAACCCTGAACACTTAAGCGCCCCATAAATCCTGAACCCTAAATGCACAGGGTCGCCGGGCCAGCCATGGAGTGGCCCAGGCACGGGACTTCCGGGCCTCAACGCTGGGGCTCTTGAACTCATCTAGGGCTTACTTGGAGGTATCATGGGTAGTTATACGTGGAGTTATAAGTCCCCTAATATAGGTTATAACTACAGTTACCCTACTTAGAGCCCTATTTATAACTACCCAAGAACCTCCAAGTAGGGCTTCGGAACATCACGTTCCCAAAGGCTTAGGATTTAGGACTATATCGGTTAGTTCTCGTTAGGGGGCAGATTTGCGGGGCGCGCCCTGACTTAAGGTCTTGGGGCGGTGTGTGGTCAGGCGGCCTGCGCCTCTGGCTTGGGCTGAGAACAAAACGAAAAGTGCTTCGAGTGTCAGTTAAACAACTCCCACTGTGGTTGAGGGGTCAGAGTTTAACTGTGGCTGAGGGTTTGCGGTTTACGGCATCGTAGTCATGGCTAAACGGCTTTGCCATGCCAAAAGTTCACCTCTTGCCAGCTGCACCAAAACATGCATGCCAAGGTGACGGATAGTCGCCGCACTCCCAGCGGCTTCTACTACGACTGCTACGACTACTACGACTACTACGACCACCACCACCACCACCACCACCACTACTGCTACTACTGCTATTACCACGACAGAGTATGACCACCACTACCACCACTGGATCGCCAGTGGACTAAGGGCCTGGCCATGCATGAGGAGCATCAGTATCTTCAAAGGGCTTTGCCCATTGATCTCGGTTATGACCTGAGTTCGGGGGCTTCAAAAGGTAGAATAGAAGGCCCTGCATCAGCGAAGAGAGGTTGCGAGGCCCAGCACTCTCCTCTGTTCCGGTTCTCATGGCGAACCAAAGAGCGGCAACCCAGAGCTCGAGAGTCTAGGACAACTACGCGGCCTAGGCTTGACGATGATTGAGAGATCCGAAACCCGTCAGGATGCCCTCGGTAGGGCCTCGGGCGTGCTCTTGTGCCACGCCTGTGATTTCGAGGAAGGGCCCGAAGGGCTCCGCACCCGGGGAAACCACCTCAGCAAACGCGAGCTTCGCAACGATGTTGCTTAGGGTTTAGGGATTAGGGTTTTTAGGGCTGAGGCATTACCGCCATCACAGCCAAGGTCATACCGCTGGACGTGGAAAAGGGGAGGCATCCTGCTAAGTATGTTCCTGTTCCCACCATGCTTTGGGGTCGGCGGTGCGAGAAAACAGTGCTGCATTAAACCAGCCTGACGACTCCTGGTGTTTGAATTCGTACAGTATTCTTCGAGGTCATACGGCTGCCAACATGATGGCGATGGAACCGTGATGAACTGCCAACCAGAGCACCCTGAATGATTTGACACAGCGTTGGATTACGGAGGGACTATCTTTGAATGGAGTTTGGCCCTCGGCTTGCTGAGGCGGATGAGAGGGTCTACAGCGGATGAGCATGGTAGACTTCTCTCACATCAGAATTTGAGGGTCTTGGGGTGTCATGTCGCGACCGCAAGAACACCGAGGATTGACTCGAGGGATGGGTTCCAGGTGTAGGGTTTAGGGTTGAGGGTCAGAACAGCCAATCCCCAAGGCATGCAAAACCCCTCAGCAAGACTGGCAAGGCTGAGTTTTGAGGCTCGGCAACCACTTCCGCTTGCTTTCTGCATACGGCCTACATACACCATTAGGACCATGTCTGCTCTTGCTTGATCACTCTGTTAACCAAGGGAAAGTTTGCGGCCAAAGCGCCGGGTCGGCACCCGCGAGGCCGCGAAGGACGACGCCGAAGCCGCCCGAGAGCTGCAGACAAAGGTTTCGGGGACGTGGGATGTAAGGGCATGACCGATTGGAACAGGAGTTTGGTGCATATTCTAGCAAGGCCATATAATATAAGGTGGTAATGCAATGTACTAGTATGTAAGTATGTGTCTGTATGATTCTGTATGAGAGAGAGAGAGGGAGAGAGAGTGCGAGAGAGAGATGGATAGATAGAGAGATAGATAGATAGATAGATAGATAGACAGATAGATGGGTAGATAGAGAGATAGATGGATGGATGGATCGATAGATAGATCGACCGATAGATCGATCGATAGTTGGCGAGAAAGAAAGAGAAAGAGAGAGAGAGAGAGATAAAGATAGATCATATGTTAATTACTCCAACCCCTATGATATCAGGGTTTTGGGCTGATAGGCTAACATAGTTTAGCAGGGTCAATAAGGTTAGGGAGGTTTTAAGGTTTATTAATGGGGTTGATGGTTCAGATCTACCGCAATGACAAGTTTAGGGCCTGGGGGCCTAGGGGCTTCTGGGTGGCCGGGTCCGCTTCCCAGGGCATGCAGGGAAGGGGACCCAAGGAAACAAGGCCCGGCAACACTTCCGCAACTTGACATGGAGCCCTGGGTTTGGAAACAGCATAGTCTAGGTCTAGGTCCTCGGCTCTAAAAGCTGTGCAGGACAATGGTAATGGAAGATTACAGACCTTTGGACTCGTCGTGGCATTTGTGGCCAGCTTGGTTGGTGCTCTTGGGCGCCGTAGGCCGTAGGCGGAATTCTGTGCATCTTGCTCAGTGTGACTAATAATTGCACGCTTCGGTACGCCCAGTTCCATATTATAACTCTCGTCCGCAACCACTGCCATCCGAGCTCCGTTGCTTATACGGCTGGGCTTGTAAAATAGGCCTATTATTCCCAACAATCCTTCGAAGATACTCAAGCCGCCCTAAACCCTAAACTGCCTCACGCTCGCCGTCCACGAAGGCGTTGCCGCCAACGGGGAGGCCGCCAACGACGACCGGGGGCTTTTTGCTCTTGCCTGACCGAAACGTAAAACATAGATGCCGCAATAACTAGAAGAGTGCTTTGGGGTATATTATATGTATTCATCCAAAAGAGAATGCCAGGAGTATGATGTTGCAAGGCAAACATCCCTAAGCTGCTGCTTCGATCTCTGCCTTTGAGGCTTCTTCCAACTTGCACGGCTAAGACTTCATAAGTTGAGAGCATAGCTCCAGGCCATGCGCTGTTGCCTTTTAACCAACGTTTTGCTTGCCAGCTGTTGGATGAACAGCAAAATCATGTAGTGGACAATAGACTGCGAGCATGTGTTAGGGCAAAGGATGGGTGGTCGAATCGACGGGGAGATGCTTTGGGATCATCTACATGATACTGTCTATCTGGAATGCCGACGGGTCCTAAATCCTACGCTTTCCTTGTCTTGGCAGTTCTTCGATTTACTGGAAGCGGCCCTGTCTGCGGAGAATCATCCACAAAACAAGCCTCACAACTAACCAGACCTCCAACCACCGCACCCCCGAAAACCATCCGTGAGCGTGTCTGAACACGCCAGCTCCCTGGAACACCAAAGCAGAGACTCATTAGCAAACTCGAAGACTGGACTTGGTCGACTTAGTGCCCTGGAGACTTACCACACGTCCGTGAACTTAGCGAACACAGCTCGTAGACTTAACACATAAGGCTCAAGGAGATCCATGACACAGATCGAATCATGCAGAGAAAGTAGGCCTGCCAGAACATTGTCTAGCATTCCGACCTTCGGCACGGCAAACATGTCCGGGGGCACATTGAAATTAATTGGCTCTGCCCCGTTAGGTATGGGTATGTTGAGGATCGCTTTGCTGTTCTCTGCTCTCTGCTCTGAGAGCACTAATGAAGTTTGAAAATGCGTCTTTCTTCGGTCTGTAGTGTTCGGGGATTCAGGATCAAGGGTTTGGGGAGGTTGGGTGTAGGGTAGGCGGATCACTATCCTTTCGGGTTTCTTGAGTTCGAGATTAGGGATGAAGGACGAGGGACGTCCTTGTGCACTTAATAATAGGGTTGAGGGGAAAAAACTTTAGGATGTAGGGATCATGATCTTGTCACAACTACTGTGCGTAACTATTGTGCGGTTGATCTGATTTCTTTGAGGAACCACCTTCAGAGCCAAAGTTTGAGTACTGTGAGCTGCATGATGGCTATACTAGTTTTTGTATTAGCCGGCCTTCTCGCCCGCTTCTATCGGGCCCAAGACCTCATGCCACAAACCCTGACCTGAGTTCCCAGCCCAACTTTGTGGGTCGCCACGCGTGTCAGGAAGCATCGCCATGGCCAAGGCAGTCGAGGGCTCGTCCTGGGAAAAGGGGGCAGAGTTGCTCGGCTCCTTTCGCTAGACAGGTCCGTTATGGCCAGGAAGGATGGAGCAAAGCACAACGGATAGAATGATGGCAATGTGCCAGCGTCGCTATCATAGCAGTTGTCGTGGTCTTGGCCGTTGTTGTCGTCACCGTCTGGTCGTAGTAGTAGCAGTGGCAGTAGCAGTAGCAGTAGCAATAGGAGTACGAGTAGGAGGAGTAGGAGTAG